AACCACGTCCATGACTGGCATCTTTCTTCAGAGTCTACTGGGCAATTCTCAATATTCATAGAGCTTGAACGATCCCCCTTTGGGACAGTCTCAATAGAGAGGCCAATAAGCGAATGAGTCCGAGCCTGAACTCTCCTCACATCTCTGTAGGCAGCCGTGGCCTCGCTGAATCAGAGCCGAGGTACACACAGGGCAGCTTGGAGCACTTCACCAGCGTGTAAGTCATGTAAACAAAACCAATCCCATCTCAACAGGGGTCTTGTGTCCGAAAAGAAACTTATTTATAATTTATTTGTCAGATAAACTGTATCTCTAAGTAGGCCTCAGAACCAAGTTGGTGGCTGCTATCTTTGGGTATGTCTACACTAGTTTGAACTAGGGGGGATAATGTAGTCATACGGAGTTGCAAATGAAGCCCGGGATTTGAATTTCCCGGGCTTCATTTGCATGATCCCGGCCGGCGCCATTTTTAAATGCCGGCTAGTTCGGACTGCGTGCTGCGCGACTACACACGGCACGAACTAGCTAGTTCGGAAGCCTAATAGCTAGTTCGTGCCGCGTGTAACCGCGTGGCACGCAGTCCGAACTAGCCGGCATTTAAAAATGGCGCCGGCCGGGATCATGCAAATGAAGCCTGGGAAATTCAAATCCCGGGCTTCATTTGCAACTCCATATGACTACATTACCCCCCCCAGTTCGAACTAGGGGGGTAGTGTAGACATACCCTTTCAGGGTAAACTAGGCTTTTTGTTCCATGCTGATGACAAATATGGGGACAAAAGACACCCAAGCAGACGGGATTGGGAATTTACACTGCGCTGTGACGGGGCGGTGGGGACTGCGGAGTCGAGCCCCGCACCCCGCTCTCGGGCGCCGGACGCTCTGCCGTGCCTGTTCGGTGGCGGCCGCCGGCGCAGGTGCAGGGGGTTCCCTGGTGGGTGCCCCAGGGGAGGGGCAGAGGGCCCGGAATGCATGCCCCAGCATCCCCAGAAAGGGGTGCCGGCTTCAAACAGCAGCTCCCAGCCGAGAGCAGGGGAGGAGGGAGGTAGCCGCTCTGGACCAGCCAGGACAAGGCGGGACCAGACCGGACCCTACGGAGCACCGGAGCCGGCGACAGAGGATCGGCTCGCCAGGACGGGGTGAGGATAACCGCCGGACCTGGCAGAGACAGCCGGTGACCAGTCAGAGAGGAGGAAGCAGCCTAGGATGGGATCAGGGAGGACCCGGGGACCGGTGAGTTGTGGCCGTAGCTCCCCTGGTCGGGCAGGGCATCCACGATGCCTGTCCTTAGGGTCATGGGCTGGGACCTGGAGAGAGGGAGGGCCCAGGTCCCCCTCCACTCACGGCCGGCTCTCTCTTAGCGGGAGAACTAAGCCCCGAGTAGGGATAGATACGTGACATGCACCCTCCACACTCTACTTGCACCACCTTAAGCAGGTCATAACACTGTAAAAATCCTGTAGAAGTCTAGAGGAAGCCTCTCTACAGTTGGACTCAGTGTGAAAGGATGACTGCTTATAGCAGGAAAGCCCACGGCCCATCCACTCCACCAGGTCCCAACCCAGACCCATAGGAATTATCAAAGCCTCCAGCCCAAACACTTATTGAACTAACCTCAAATTATATTTTCTGACAGTTACTGCCTATTAGTCTGAAACTCCTTCAGTTTGAGGCAGGATCACTGACATAGCAGAGTCTCCTCAGTGTCTTAGTGGCCAATGGAATGAATCAATCTGATTTAAGTCCTTCCACTCCCATAGAAGAGGTGAGGTGAGGTGAGGTGAGGTGGGGTGGGGTGGAGGCAAAAGCAAGAATCTGAGCCCCTGCTGCTAGAGAAGCCTTCACAAAAGTTGCTGCTACTCCTGACATAATTCGACCTCAGCCTTGTGTCCTCATGCAACAGCATCTCCCTTGTCCCTCCACTCTTCCTGATGGACCAGGAAGGGAACACTATGAACTGGAAGGCATGGGATGCGTAGTCCTAGGGATGGGGGTTCCACGACCACCACCCCCAAAAGAAGATGACGGGTGGTGGTGATCGGGGACGCCCTCCTAAGAGGGACTGAGCCATCCCTCTGCCGTCTGGACCTGGAATCTCGAGAGGTTTGCTGCTTACCAGGAGCCCAAATTCAGGATGTGACTGAGAGGCTTACCAAGATGATTAAACCTTCGGATCGCTACCCCTTCCTGCTTCTCCACGTGGGAACTAACGATACGGCCAAGAATGACCTTGAGCGGGTTACTGCGGATTATGTAACGCTGGGAAGAAGGATCCAAGAATTCGGAGCGCAAGTGGTGTTCTCATCCATCCTCCCTGTTGAAGGACTGATGGGCAGAATCCCCTGGGATGCTAACATGCAGGGGAAAGGAGTCCAGGAGAGCTGGCAGTATTTTAAAGAAGCCTTATTGAAGGCACAGAAAGAAACCATCCCGATGTGTAGCAAGAGAGGCAAACATGGTAGGAGACCGGATTGGCTTACAGGGGAAATCCTTGGTGAACTTAAGCACAAAAAGGAAGCTTACAAAAAGTGGAAACTTGGACAAATGACCAGGGAGGGGTTTAAATGAATAGCTCGAAAATGCTGGGGGGTTATCAGGAAGGCGAAAGCGCAAATGGAATTGCGACTGGCTAAGGATGAGAAGGATACAAGAAAGGTTTCTACAGGCATGTTAACAAGAAGAAAGTGACCAGAGAGGGTGTGCGGCCCCTACTGGATGAAGGAGGTAACCTAGTGACAGATGATGTGGGGAAAGCTGAAGTACTCAATGCTTTCTTTGCCTATCCATTCATTGACAAGGTCGGCTCCCAGACTAATGCTCAAAGTAACGCAAGATGGGAAGGAGGTGGAGAGCCCTTGGTGGAGAAAGAACACGTTAGGAACTATTTAGAAATGTTAAACGTACGCAAATCCATGGGTCTGGACTTAATGCATATGAGGGTACTGAGGGAGTTATCAACTGTCATTGAGGAGCCTTTGGCCATTATCTTTGAAAAGTAGTGGAGTTCGGGAGAGATCCGGGATGATTGGAAAAAGGCAAATGTAGTGCCCATCTTCAAAAAAGGGAA